TCATTTTCTTTGATAAAATTGTGCTTGTGCAGAAAAGATCAAATTTGGAACTGTACTTATCCCTCTAGTCAAAAGGACAAAACAGAATTCAGCTAAAGATTACTTCACTGAAAACAGCAGTTTGGTTTCTCAAAGACGTTCAGCATTTGTGACCACGATGATGAAAAATCCATTCCTATTTTTCCCAGGATCAGTTAAAACAAAGAATTTTTAGAGGTTGCATTTTCAAGAGAGAGTAACTCACTCTGTTCTCAAAGTACCAGTGTTTCATACACTCCTGTCCAACAGTTTCACATCCATGTTTTGTTGTGCCTGCCCATAACTGACAAGATACTCTCCGATCTAAACTTCTAACTGAATTAACGCTCATTTAAGCCTTCTCTCCCACCCCTCTCTTGGTCTTTCAGGCATCTTTCCACAGGGTTACTCCTGAAACCATTTCAATTTTTTTCTATTAAGCATCATCCTTCAAACCACTCAGGATGCTTAGTAAGAGAAAAAGGTGTACCTCTTAAACACATTATAAAACTTTCTAAGGTATGTCAGCTGGAAAACATCTCCTCCATGCCAAAATAAAAAGGTGCAAGCCACAATTCCTACTAAGTCATCCTTCATCTTCCAGCCTCTTCTACTGCTTGTTCTAATATACAGAAGTTTCCCATACCTACAAAGCCTTGTCAATTCTCAGACTGTTTTAACAAATATGAACCCATTACAGAACAAGTGATGTATTTGCTCTGGCATGTGGTATGAGAGAACCCGATACTGCTTTTCTGGGCATGCAGATTCCACAGTATCTTTAAATATTACTAAAATGCAAGTAGATAACAGACCTAACCTGGATCTCTTGCTCCAGAAATAAATACCTAAGTAAAAGGACGTATCGATTTGATGTTTAATGGGTTCTGAGTATCTTTCAGTCTTCTAATCTAATCAGAATACTAGTGGAGCTGTTATAAGGACTAGCTTCCGCAGCTGAATACATGCTCCAATACTTGGTTTTGTAGGACTTCAAGAGCTAGACAAGCATATTGTGCATTTAAGCAATAATAATTTAAGAAGGCCTTCCACCACCACCCCTTTTTCCCTTTCTCTCTCTTTTTTTTTTTTTTTTTAAGTAAGTCAGCAAATGATACCAATGGCCTTCAAGTATCTATCTGATAGCACTTCACATCACTTACCCTGCTGGGCGAGTAGCCATATCTAACAAAATGCTTTTCCATTCCCTCCGCTTAAATTGCCAGATTCGTGCTGTTCCATCACGGCTCCCACTCACAAATCTAACAAAAGGGGAAAAAAGTTACTCAGATCTAGGCAGATCCATACAGAAAAGACACTTGAAAACTGAAGTTCCAGAACTCAAAAGAGGAAGCTGTAAGTAAGAAGTCAACAGTGCTAGAATGCTGTACAACTGGGTTTGAAGTGAAAAACACTTCCCATACCAGTAAAAAAATTGAAGGCCTGCAAAAAGTGGAATCCACTTCCCTTTCCTGAGCCCCTTCCAAACTAACTGTACCTTCAGTGCACCTTGCCAAGTCATGACACCACTGTGGCACAGGGACACCACAGCACAAGCAGCATTTAAGGAACTGATCCCATCATGCCAGGTAAAGCTAAGGCAGAAATTTAAGGGGTAAGAATAGCTGAAGGGCCAGGAGAGCCCAACCAGCAGAAGTACAGACATGATTTAAACCAAAGAAAACCTACTGCCAGTAATCTAGCACTGTACGTTGAGTATCACGATACTTATCTGAGTGTCTCCCAGCTTGAGTTTCTCCCCCACCTTTTTCTTTCCCCTTTTCAGGGTGCAGGGATAGATGGAGGAGAAAGAGGTGGGTGGAGCGCAACGAAGCTTGCTTTACAACTATTTGTATCATAATAAAAGTGTACATTAGAACATCAATTAAATGAAGTGACAAATTTCATAATGAACTGAACCGTTTTCTTTAGCATCCTTTACATCCATCATCCAGAAGTGAAACATTAAAAAGCATCAGGCTAGCTACACAAGGTCTTGTTAGATCATGTGACCGTTTTCCTGTAGTCAGTAGTCACTTAATTGAAAGATGGTTTAAATATTTAATATATCTAAAAATGCAAGTATTTTGTATGTGAATATATATACATGTGTATTTCTTAAGAATAAATTTCAAGTATTTTTATACACCTTAATTTTGGCAAACTCAAAATACTTTATTCATTCATTACAATTAAAACAACTGTAAAACTGAAGAAGGTGCATTATTAAAACAAAACAATGAGAATCCATTAATTATAGATGATCTTACTGGATGAACCTCAAAATAGAAATTTGGGGTTCTTTTTATATATAACTACTTCTAGAAATTGATATTTACAAGGTCACAAGGCCAAAAAAATAGGTCTGAATGAATATATTGTGTGCTTACCTGCTACTACTATTAGAAAATTGAATGCTGTCAACTTTGTCCTATTTAAGAAAAAAGTAAAAAAAAAGAAAATAATCAAATATGATTCAGAATTGTCCAAATTATAATTTAATTCAAATTTATATGTTATTTTAAAGAAGTATTTACAGTATGAAACTCCAACTCTGATATCTTCTCTGGCTGACCTGATCCAAAGAAATAAACCCTAATGATGTGATCTGTACTCCCAGTGGCCAAAAACATTCCACCTGAGAAAAACAAACAGATAAGCTTTAAGAAAAAAAGGCAATCTAATGTTATTACAGTATTATCAAATTGCTGTAACATCACATACTTCAATTTATTCCCTTAAATTTAGTTACATCTCATTTCACCTGTGCCTGGAACTGACCTTTATGTAAAAGTGAGATTTAGAAACTCAACAGTTTAACTGGAGTTGAATTACCTCACATTTGCTGTCAGGTATTATGCATCTGCAGACGTAGCTGAAAGGTAAGTTAACTACAGCAATTTGTTTGTAGCTAAGCCCTGAGAAGGCTCAATCTTAAAAAAATTGACTAGAACTAGAGCTCCAGCTTGTTTTCTGAAAGTAGGTTTCAGTCCTGACATTTTATCCAACTATTTATGTTGCATTCTTCAATTGCCAACTCTGGAATTCATTAAATTCAAACTCTGAGAACCTGGTAATCAACACCTTCTTGTCCCAATCCTTGTAAATTCTGCCTCAGATAAAGCTAATTCTCAGAATCACTGTGTGAAAAAGGTATGCATCCTGTTTTAGAAGACTTGCAGTCACAAGTCAACATTTTACATTTAACCGTTTTCAAGAATTTGCATATCACCAAGAGTTAATGCATAGGTTCTGAATTTCTATTTTAAATATCTGAATGTTTTAAATAGCTACTTTAATGCAGTTCCATCTTATTAACATAAATTATGCTACAGTACATGTATTATACTTCATTTTATTGTCCAAATTACTATTTCTATTGATACAAGGGTGAAAAAGAAAAAGGGGGGAAAAAAAAAAAAAGATAGTCTTTTACCAGCACTGAAAGATGAACAGATCATTTGGACTCCAGGCCGAGGGCGTTCTGTAAACTTTGTTGGCCTTGGACTATAAATAAAGAAACAGTTAAATAATTTCCTAATAGGGCTTCCAAAAAAATAAGTTAATATCTTAGAAATAAAGCACAGAAGCACAAAATTAAATATGAAGGAACAGATGGCTGCCCATCTATAAACAAGCTCGTGTGACTATGCTTCATGATCTGATCTTTAGGAAACTAAGACATCCAGATGGACTAAGTAATCCCTGTATCAAGGAGAGCTGTTTCACAGCTTAAATCCCATTCCCCTCTCTCCTCTAATAGTGCTACACAAAACACTCTCCTTAAGTCACCAGCAAAGCAGAACAGAAGACACTAGAGCCAGCTGCCCGTCATGTTCAGGTTTAAACCACTGGAACTCTGTTTTTCTCCTGCAGCAACGGATGCTTTTACAAGAGAGAAACAGAGCTCTTCAAAGAAAAAGATACAAAAGAAGTTCAAATAAATTCAGAGTTTTTCACAGTATTAGACTATACCAGCTCCTTTAGAGGACATATTCTTCGTGCACTGGTTTTGAATAGTGCCCAAGAATATCAGGACAACAGTTGGTTGTAAGGAATTTTCCTTTATGGCTTGAGCTTCCTTTTAGGCATTTCAGATCCTGTTGCGCAAGCAAAACTGAAGTTTCCATGGATTTGGCACTTTAAGAGTGTATGAAACCAAAACAAATCAGATCTGGTTCTTCAATCATTACTTCAGTTCTGCTCTTGCACTGCAGCAACCTCAGATCAGTAGGTGGTCCTGCACAGCGCGCCATCTGCAATCCTCACTTGGAGAACCGACTTACTAGAGAACAGCAGCATTACACCCACCAGTGTCATCACTAAAGATTTGTTTTAACATTAGAAAAAATGCATATTCATAGCTTATCCAAAATTTTCTCTTTTAAAGGCAAAATGGTCCTTATAATTCATTTCAGCTGAAGGCAGATGCAGGAGATCTTTCTCCATTAATCTGCTATTGCTACCTAAAAACCAGCAGTAAACATTGAACCTGAGTGGTGGCTATGCATAAAACAAACTAATAAACACCAGGAATACCAGATAAGGAATCTTTCTCCCAACTGTCCATTCAGTATAGGCTGTTTCTGCATCCTTTCCTCTAGGAGTGTTAAGGTAACTCCCCCAGACTCACGACGACAAGGAAACTTCACAACGTACACTAAACAAGACAAAGACCCACTCTCCAAAACAGCTGAAACCCTTCTTAACCGAGGTACTAACCACAGAACTATCTGATGATTCAATATGCAGCTTACATAATTTGGAGCAAGTGTAAATAGATAAATAGGCTGCTGTTTTCTTCCACTGTGGTTTTGTGAACTCTGCCTTTGGAGTTAGGACAGCTGGAAAATAGAGCAAGTATGCACTTCTGTTCTAAGCTGGATAACCAAGTTAGATTCTCCAACTTCTGTCTCTCTAACGTGTGGTGTTTTACACTAGTGCAGAGTGTTGTCCTTGCCAAATGAGCTAGGCAATCAGTACTTATGGAAAGCAACGAAAAGCGGACAAAAGCATAATTTCTTGTAACATACAGAAACCAAGCTAATTGTTTTGCTTTACAAACATTCTCAATCTAATTATTAAGTGGCTGGACAGCACTAAGACAACTTCATAAACATTTCAAAGAGGTCCAGAAAAGCCCCAGGTAAGCCACTTTCCTCCTGGATAAGAGATGTATTCAGTTCAACACAGATCCAGAAATGAGAGGGGCTGCAGTCAAAAAATGACCTGCACTCACGAGCTGCAAGCAAAAAGGCAATCTATGTGCCTCAAGTGCAAAATGTTCGTCTTCTTCACAATGCAGCAATACTGCAGGAAGAGTTAACTAATCCAAGCCCTGCAGACTACCCCCACCTTGGACACATAGTGGCTCAAGGAAGACTTCTTCACAGAAAAGAGATGTTTGACACAACCTCTCCTACTAATTTGTTCACAAGCTAACGAACCAAGTTCAGCCTATCTGAATTCTGATGCCAGCCCCTTTAACATCACGTGCCTTCTGCTTAAGAAAGCAGATGGGAAGTATCACACCACACTGATGATGACAATTGAGACATCAACGGCTTGTCCAAAATAGGAATGTCAAAATCATCAACACGTGATTTTCCTAAGTTTTATTCCTCTTTTTAAAATTACGGGGGAAAAATAGAAGAGCAGCATAGTAAGTTCCTCTACCCAAATCTGTGAGACAGTTCTGCTGCCTTGTTCATATGGTCTGCCAGTAACAGATTAACGCTGGAAACTTGCAATCCAGACAGGTGGCAGAAGAGTAACAAGAAAACTTAACATCTTTCTCAGAGAAGACACATATGCAAGTATTTTGCAGTGCAACTAATTTAACTTTGCTGCACTGACCAGTTGGAATAATTCTCCCTTAAACCTGAAGCACGTTATTCTTCAATTTCTGATGATCCAAGGCGGATTTTCTCTCTTGTCCCTGCTGTCAACCAACACAGAATCCAACTTTTGTGTTTTCTATCACCATCCAGAATAGTAACAGGAAACTAAATATGGGGAAAGTCTTAATTTTCTAATTTTTTTAATGGTTTTCCCACCTCGTCTGGCCTACATTCCTTGACTTCCTTATCTGGCAGCAACAACAAAACTTACTGTTCCTCTGTTTGGAAACCAAACTAACCTACCTGGAACATCACTCCTTCTAGGCATACATGGTAACTGCCTGGGCAGAAATCTCTTCACAGAAAGAAGAGCACACAGGAGGCTCTGTAATACTGAAGAACACACATCTACTAGTCACAGCAGCAAGTGAACAAGGCTGATCGCTCTTCTTTGAACAGCATGATTTTTGTGGTCAGCTGTGCCAATGTCTGTATTTCACCCTATGGCACCAAATCTACTGTAACATGTCCTTCTGCAGTTTATCAAAACAGAGCTCTGTCACCAACAATTTCCTGTCTGGGCCATATGTGTGACCTAGATAATGAACACTCCTCAGTTAACGAGGTTATCAAAAAATTGAGAGACCGACATGGGAAGCCTCCAATGTCAGAGATACTGTTAATACTGGAGCAGAGTTGCTGGAAAAGCTGAATACAAGGATTTTTGCGATCTAAGAATGAAACAAAATAAACATTTGCAGAGATTAAAAAGACAAAAACAAAACAGAACTGGGATAGGGCACTGGATGTTAGAAGGCTGAAAGGATAAGAAAGTCCCTTTTAATGGCAAATACAACAGCTCGAGGTAGTAAGTTTCCAAATCCTTCATGATCTGTTAAAATAATTGCTCCATAATATTTTGATCTAATTTTAGAAGTGGAGAATGAAGAAAAAATTTTGAGTTTCCTCATCTCCTGAAGAAGCTGACAGAGAAAGATTGCCTTCAGGGAGAATTCTTCCCAGAAGGGATTAAGGCCAATTTTCATTTAAAGACAGGGAGTTGATCCAGTAGACTTAAGCATACAAGCTGGGTTCCACTGAAACAGTTTTCAGCATACTTAGGAAATAAACTGATATATTTTTAATTCGACAGTACACTGAGCACAGTAGCGTATCCAAATGCTGCCTTTCCCATATTTTATAAAAGAGTACTGCTGGCACTGTCAATCATCGTGAAACTATGATCAACCACATGATCATCATGAGGCTGCCCAACAGCTCATAATCTTAACTCACTGCCAGATGATTCAAGTAGTGCTCAGTATAAAAAGCAGGGGGTGGGGTGTATATATATATTATAATATTTTTTAGCAGCTGAGATTTCAAGACTTCACCACCAGTTCTGATTTGAAGTATTGGACAATTTAGTAATGAGCTTTGACCACTGATAGTGATTGTATTCTTGGAAGGCCAGGCTGCAGTCAAGCTGAGAAGCATGAAACCAAGTTCTAAGCTCAGCATGTGACTGCACTCTTCACCCATACCACGCAGACTTTTCGGTCATGCTTGAAAGCTCCCATTTCTCTTACCTGGGCTGGGAGGGCTGCTGCAATGGAGTTACAGGGTTGGAAGCTCAGAACCCGAATAACTGTTGTAAAGAGATCTTTATTTTCTCTGCCAGCTTTCCTCCTTTTTAGAGATACTGAACAGAAGCGAGCCCGTATTTTTTGCTCTAGTGACAAAAGGGCAGACTTCCCACTGCACCAGTTAGTGTCTGCTCCAGATGGTCTACACATCATGCTTGTTAAAAAATAAACCCACAAGGGGCCTTACGAAAAAAAAAATTAAGAGGAATCTCTCTCCTGATGCTTGATGGTCTCGTACCACTAGCACTGACTTTCCCCCAGCACATTACTGAATAGATGTGGAGGGAACGTGACCTGTTCCTGCAACTCTGGAAGTGGATCCAGACCTAAAGGTGCAGGGAATTGCAATCACCTCATCAAAAACTATACTCAGTGCTGAGATGCCCTGTCTACGCAATGAAGCCTCCTTCTGAGAAACTACACTGGATTCTTAGTTTCCCAGTATGTTTTTCATACTTAGTATGATTTACTGGAATAAACACAACCACAGGTAGAAAAGTTTACAGTTTAGCCAATTAAATAAAACTCCCTGTAACTAACTTTCTCCTGAACTAGTATAGTGTTCAATTCAGGAACAGCTATGTTAAGACTTCTCTGGGTGTCCAACTACTTTGATATCCGATTTGACACAGTTATGTTTCAGTCCCAAAAGACATGCCTGTTTCTTGTTTAGACTTTAACATATTTTTATCAAGTTTCAGATTTGATTAAAAAGTATCAATTACTTGAATTATGTAACAGCCCAAAGTTCAAACAAAGACTTAACAGCAGTATCCTGCCGCCAAAGCAGCTAAAACCAGATATGTAAGAGCAGAAAAAGCATAGCGACACCTTTTAATAGCTTCATATGATGTATAACAACATCCTGTGGCAAGGAGTTTCATAGCTTAACTGCATGTTTGTAAACAACCACCTTCTTCCAACTTGGAATTGCCTACCTTCACTTGATATCCTCCAGTACAATAAAGGCCAATAAGAAACTTATTATATGCCCTCCTCAAGACACTCAGGAGTGTAAATGTCCCCATCTTCATCCACCCATCTTTTCCCAGACTGAAGAAACATTAAAGGGTCCTTCCATCTCCTCAAACACAAAATATGAAATATTTCCAGAACGGAAGGTGACAACTGTACAAATTCCAGTCTCAAAATTTCTTCTGCATGCTGTCATTAAGCCACATGAATCGCTGGCATGACATGGGTTACCAGACCACTTCCTTGCTGTGCTGCACGAGACAGCTGAACTAATCTGTTTTCTCTCTGCTGCTCTCTGATCACATCTGCGGCGACTACTTACACATGAAAGCATTACTCAGAAGTCTTTCATTCCTTTAATATTTGCCAAGTGCATCTCACTGAAAATATGTATCCTACATTTACATATCATCACGGATCGCAATTAGTTGACAATCCCCTACCATAACCAATGCCAGCTTTCTCACTCCCTAAGTTTTACCTCAAGACAAATCCCATCCAAGCCCATGATTCATCCAAATATTCATGATTTCTAAACATACACTTTCCAGCTGATACAGTATAACCCACTTAAGTCTCACGAATTCCCCTATTCTCTAATCACAAAATTTCTTTCAAACTTCAACACCATACAAACTTTATTAAGGAAAGGGAGAAAAGAGGGGAAAAAAAAAGTAAAAGAGAAAGAAGAGAAAGCAGCATGTGGGCTCAAAAGGTTTAAAAATTGGGCAGATCAAGATTTCTTGTCAACAATAGCTCAGACTTAAGAGACCTTAAGAAAAACAACTTGGTGGCAACTCCTCCTCTTTGCATATTAAAATAAGCACGAAGCCATCTCCTCAGTAAGGAGACTGCTACTTTAACTACAGCCTGCACCAGGAAGCAGAAGTTTTAACAGCCTGAGAAGCAGCTTCATCTACAGTATCAAAAAAAAAAAAAAAAAGGCATGCCAAAATACCCAGAGAACATCAAAACACTGAAGGTCCATCCACCTAGAGAAGTGGCAAGGCCTAGATAACTTTGGCATGCTGGAAGAAAGAGATTCTAACAGCACATATCAAAACTACAAGAAAATGGAGCCAACCTACCAGGAGAATATTATCCATAAAAACACATCCCATCCTCAGAGCTAAATTACTAATGGTTATTAAAACAGCTATTTCCAGTTCTGAGCTACAGGTGTTTTGTGGTAAAAGGAACAAAAAGCATTTGAAAGCCACTTAAAAAAGTTAATTTTAAAAAACCTGTCTCTATTTGACAGTCCTGACAACGTTTTTAATATTTTACACTCTGAAGGTAGAACTCAAATTCAGCCACCAATCCACAGCTGCCCAAGAATGCTGCCTCCTGCCACAGTACAGTAAAGAGCAACTATGAAAATATAACAGAAAGAAGGAAAGAACAAACATCGAAAACACTGCATCCTAATTTATCACTAGGATATTACCTGCTTCAAAAAAATTGGCATTTTCAAGTCTGAACTGCAATCATTTTATCAACATAATTTTCATTTCATTTGGGATTAAGAAATGAGAACAGAATCAAACAGCGCCAACTTTGACATTAAAAAAAAAATGAGACTTTTTACTACATTAACAGAGCAAAACTGGGTATATAGTTACTTGCTTCACCACAGCGTCCTCAGTTAGTTATATTATCAACTTAGTCCTTACAAGATAAGCAAGCAAGCTATAGCTCCATCAGAAATAGATCGCACCCAACAATTGCACAGTGAACCAGCCAGTGACAAGTTTTGGCTTAGTCAAATTTTTTCTCCAACATTCTTACATTACAACAGTTCTTAATTACAAAGAAAGAAAGAGCAACAACAAAAAAAAAAAGGCAACTAACTTTATTTTAAGGGTGCCAGCATCCCACAGCCAAAAGCATATTGTTCCATCTGCCCCGGTTGAAGATAAGTATCTCTTTGAGCCACTGCACAGTGGAGAGAACTGGGGGAATTGAGGGAAGAAAAAAGAAAAGGTCTCCTGTTAATCCATTCCAGGTGTAGTAGTAAGTTCTTCAAGCCACTGACTTCTCACAGGAAAAAAAAAAATAATCATGTATCACACTGTACTTAATGAAAAAACCCACCCCAATAAATTGCAATGAACACCAAATAAGACAATGCTTCTCAGAGTCTCTCTTCCTACAGAACAACCCTTCTGGGTTACTCGCCAAAGCACTCTGGGATCTCCCTACCCACCACCCAAGTTGTACAACAGCATGCAGCTCTGACCAGGAACAAACCCAACTGTTCAGCGTTGACTGCAGATCAACGTACCTGCACTCAGAATCACAGCCCGCAAAGGAACGATACTGCCAAACAGCGCTGCCCAAGTGCGGCATGCAGGTTTTTGGAACACGGATTGTGTGTGGCATTTTTCAAGGGTCGGGCATTTTGACAACGAACACATTACTCCCCAGTGTGTACCATGGGAAATCCCTCCTCACTTCATGGCTTAGTTGCCAGGCATGCATTTTTTATTAGAGGGAACATTCTTGGGCAGTTCCTTTTTCAGTCAAATGACGCATTTTACTGCTCAGGTGAGTTTGCAAACCAAAAACCTACCTGCAACGATGTTATAGATGCGCTGTGGCCCTGCAGAACTGCTAAGGGTGCACAAGTTCGAAGGCACCAAACTCTGATCATTTTATCACAGCTTCCGGCAGCTATCATGGTGTTTTCATAGTTCACTGCCATATCAGATATTTCAGCTGCATGCCCTCTCAGGGTAGCCAACAACCTTCCATCATCTGTTGCCCAGATTTTTACAAGGCAATCATCTGATCCCTAGAAGCAAGGTAGAAATCATTTTAACCATACCATTAGCTGCTTCGATGTTACAGTTAACCAACACAATAAACTGAACAACAGAACTACTGGCATATATAAATACTGCCACCCCACTTTTAACAATTTTCCACACTGCATTCAAAACACATCAGATTATATTAATTCTCAACAGTATATACAAAGCAAGACACATTTATAACACAGATCACAAATCCTACAGCAAGCGGGATTTACGCTCTTCAGCAAGTCACTTTTTCCAAAACTCCAGCACAAACTGAAGAAGCTGTTGCGATACATTAAAATATATCTTTAAACAGGAAAATGAATTATGAATTGGTACAGTGTTTGTCATTTAGCATTGTACCCACTCGTGTTCCTTACAGTTCTAGTTTAATCTTCATGCCCTACCATCAGCAGTAGTATACTTACCACAGTAAGAGGTAAAGAGCCTGTAGAAAGAGCGCTTCCATTATTAAGTCAAAGCACTATAAAACTGCTTTGATACTCACACTAAGAAACACTGAAAAGACCGCCCTCCCTCAAAAACTTCAGAGGCTTCATCCACCTATTCATACTTAAGTTACATTTTGCTGGTCTTCCCACATGACTGTAACAGCTGCTGGCCTGCATACAACAAACTCAAGGCCATAGCAAATATTTCAGAACACAGACCTTCATTTTTCATGCTTCCATGCTGAGATTGTGTGGTATACATTTGCCTTATCTAACTGCTAGACACCTACAGTGCCAGCCCGGGGAACAACCAGAGTCTGCAGAGTTGAACAGAAATGGGCAGACACTGAAGCATCGATGCAAGAAGGGACCTCTACAGATCATCTA